ACACCGGCTTCCTCTCCAAGTTCGTGAGTTGAGCACTCCGCTTCAATCTCTGAGCTCTCGTCCCAGAGCTGAAACAAGACTCAGATTCCCAGACGTTTTGCTTGTATTGCAGTTTCTTCTTCTCGCAGCCTGTTTCTGGAGTGGAGCTTGTGCGGTGGTTGTACAGCTGCTAGAGGCTCGAGCCATTTGGCACCCAGAACCTGCAAAACTAGAAACCACCCACGGCCGCCCCTGTATAGTAAAAGAACTTGAGACTACCAGAACCACCACAAGACATAGACCAGAAGAGAAATACCTCCCGAAAAGAGCGAAGGCGAACAGCGAACACTTCTGCATGTTGTCTCTTCTTTGCATCCTTTTTCCGTAAGCGCCGCCCCAAAGTGCGGCCGAGCACGGAGGCCGAGATTTTCCAGGATTCCAGGCCCTAGGTCTCTCCGAGTCTCTCCTCTGTGTTTCTTTGTTCTGGGTGGGAAGTTCAGCTTCTGCAACGGGAGGCGAGAGGCGATTTCGATGGCCAAAGAGGACTCCTCGGGATCCTCCTCCGAGAGCGAGGAGGTGCAGCGCAGCGCTGTGTCGAGGTCGAGGTGTTGACCAGAGACGTCGCGTGTCCATTGCAGGACAAGGAATCGCTGGATGACAAGCTGCTGCATCCTGAGTTCCGATGCTGCATGAGCGCCTGAGAGAGTTGTGCCGGGCTCTTCCACATCACAGGAAGCGCATAACGAAGCTGGGCAAGGAAGGCAATGTTGAAGGCTTGGTCAAGGAGGCACACTGCGAGTCCCGAAACCAGCCTTTCCCTGCTTGCTGCGATGTGTTGGTTCGAAGGCGAAGTTGGCAGACTGCTCACCGGAGATGGTCTCCTTTGCTTCCCGAAAAGCCAAGGATGTCGGTGTATCTTCTGTTCTGCCCACCCCACATGTCTTGTGGACTTTCGGTTGCCGGAGAGTTCTACCTTCGGTACACCCCAGCCCCGATCGTCACGCAGGACAGGCTGCCGCCGCAGGAGATATGTAAGAGAGATCTAAAGGCCCTTCTTGGGTAAAGGGCGGATCCCGAAGCCGCGAGCCGAGATCCGTGGTGGCTCGCGGGCTCAACTTTCCCGGCTCCTTGCGAGATGCAGCTGCGCAAAACGGATGTGATGAACGGACAACGGTTCCGGCTGGAGATGACGCTGGTTTGCATGAGAGGTCTGCCGCAATCTACGGGTCATCTTGTGACTGGCAGCAAAAAAGGGGGAAATTCGCCATCACCTACGAGCCAGAACGCTTCTTGGCGCTCTGCACGTGCCTGCCCGCCAACCCGGGGGACAAGCTGACTCCTTCAGCGTATCACCATCCTTTCGCCACTCTTCAGCAGCGTCCTTCACTGCACATGTAGCCATGCACTGAGGAGTCGACCCAGTTGGTTTTGCCTGCTTTCTGTCCATCTTACTTGCAGGACCTGGGTAACTTAGCCTTCCAGAAGAAAGAGTACGTTCGGGCCCCAGCAGAATGGGAGGCAGCTTCTGCCCCAGCGGCTCCGTGCGGCTCAGTGCGGCTCATCGTGAGCCGAGGAGCAGGCGCTGGAGTACTACGCGGGCGCCTTGCTCGGGGACCCCTCCTCCTCTGCAGCTCTCCGCTTTTGTGTGTCGAGTGATGTCGAGTGTTGGCTGCTTTTCGTCTGTTCGTTGAACTGCGAACACCACCGTCTTCCCTATATCAGAGACCGCCGCCTGCGCAGGATGTCCCCGAGAAGTACAAGATTTACAGCAATCGTCTAGCCCCCAGTGTGTTGAGACCTTCTCGAGATGCCACGAACGATTTTCAACAAGGCTCTGCTTGCCAGTTCCAGCTGGGAAGATACACAGAGGTGCCAGCCAGTGCCGGCCGCGAAGCGACCGACGAAGAGCATGCTCTTCTTGCAGTCAGGCTCTGGTGGAGGCCACCAAGGCCATCAAGGAGAACAGATCCTGGCAGCCTGGCTGGGCCTTCGCAGGGACTTGCGCTGCGTCCGAGCACGCCCAGGTCCAAGGGCTACTTTCGAGCCGGCCGTGCGGCCTTGGAGTCCGGAGCTCCCGAGAGTCTGCGAGCCGACTTCGCCGAAGAAGGCACAACCACCGCTCAGGATGGAGTATTACCAGGAAGCCTTGGAGATGTTCGAGAAAGGCCTTGAGAAGGAGTCAGGTGCTCAGGAAAAAAACAGACCTTCCAGCTTTCCTTCCTTGCACCCCTCACACGGCAAGGCCAAGCAACAAGGACCTGGTCACCTGGACGCAAAAAGCCAGAGACATCCGCAATCAGCAGCAGCAGGACACCGCTCCACGGGTTTCTGTGTCTTTGCCTCCCGATGAAGACTGGAGTTCAGGAGAAGCTCGTGAAAAAGCATACCACCGACTACTCCAAGTTCGATTCCCTGATGCAACAGCAGAAGGAGGAGGAGGACGAGGAGGAGGAGCGGCAGCTTGTCCACACTCTTGAACAGTGTGGCAGAGAGCTGCTCCAGTCCAGGCCGCGAATGACCCGAATAGGATCATCCTCGGCGACAAGTGCAGAAGCCGAGTATCGGAGGGCTTCTGTTCTCCTTTGCCTTTCGGATGTCCGTGGCTGCCGTAGCTTCGCGTCGAGGTACTACTCGTCCTCGAAGATGGTCCGGCCCCATCCAACTCTTGTTTGCGTCGCAGAGATCCTGATCAGGAACAACGGCAGCTCAAGGCCATGCTTGGCTACAAGGAGCCTCCGCCCCCGCCTTGTCTGCCCACTCTGCCTACATCCGCGGCGGGCCAATGTGGAAGCTCTTCGAGGCCTCCGCCCTTCGAGCCGAAGTTTGACATGGATGTCATCTACAGGCCCCCTCTCAGCCCCTCGCATCTTGTAGCTTCCAAGAAGTCGTAACCTGGGAGAGGCATGATAATCGTGGCGCGAAGACGCAGCATCCCATCTGGGTGCGGCACACGTCGGGAGAGAAACTCCACGCGGGTCGATGTGTTTCTGCGGACACTGGCTGACGGTTGAGGATCCCACAACTCGTGAGTGGCGCATCGATGCCAAACCGGCACCTAGCCGCGTTGACTACAGCGACTCTCAGCAAGCACAGGCGGCCGCCTCGCTTGAAGGCTGAGACTTCAGCTGGTCTCTTGCTGCTTGCTGTGGGAGAGGCCATCGCCCTCTTCTTGGAAAGGCAATCCGAGGTCCCGAACTTACCTTACCGGCAGCTTCTCCAGGATATGCAGCACCCCAGGTTCAGCATGCCGACGAGCTGTTGAATCTCGTGGATCAGCGAGCCTCCCCTGTGGAAGCCTACGTTCAGGCAGTCTGCTCCCCTTGCTCAGTTTGGGGCCTAGAAGAGCCGGGCACCTGCCAGGCGGTGCGAGACGTCGTGGGGCAGCTGATGGGCCGTGGCCCCGGCGGGCCTTTCGCGTGTTGGATGGGTTGAGGCAAGGCTACCAGGTACAGCATCGCGAGCAACATGCTCACGGGTGATAAATGCATATGCATGAATTCGTTTGGGGCAACCGGGGCCGGGACCATCTTTCATGAGAACAAGCTCTAACTTGGAGCGCTCTGAGCTCTGCAGGTGCCACGGACAAAGATGGAAAACGACGGAAGCACAGTGTCCTCGGGAACGATGCCAGGGGGCCCGTGGTGTGACGAAGTGAAGAGCGGCGTTCATCCGCTTTGCCTTTGCTTAGGCACGGTGGCTTTTTGTTGGCCTCGGGTCTACCCTGCCGCTACTGACGGCGGCGAGGCCCGAAAGCGGTAAGACCTACACACACACACACACAGAGACGCGGCCCACTTTAGTTGTACCGTAAGGTATCTGCCCGCCTCGGAGATCGTCGCCAACACGGCGTCGCCAAGCAGCACCTGAGTGCTGGCGCCATCTATTTTCTTTTTGGCACAGGGAGTCTGGGTCTCCCAAGAAAGTAAGAGCTTCCCTCCGCCGAGGCATCGGGGCGCGTACATCGCGGATCTCTACATGACCATCGCAAGGGAGCCCGGGCCTTCTGAAGCGAGAGCGAGAGGTCGACGCTCGAGTCCTCGAGTCCCTCTGAGTTTTTGCAGAAAGGAACGGCTTAAAGTCGCAGCAGGTGAAGTGCGGCTCCCACCTGCTCCGAGTTGTGCTACTGTTCGCCGTGCGGGGCCGCTGTTCAGGTTTGTGCACCGGCCATCTCACGAGCTTGCGGTCGTGGATCCTGATGGAGCTGATGAGAACAACTTGACTGGCCGAGTCGATGTTGCAGGGGGCTTGGCCCGGCGGCCACCCGCCGAAATGCCCTTGAAGCGCTTCGCTTTTTGGGCTAAGTGGTCGCCTCAGGCCGTTCTTGACTACGAGCTCTTTGACCCGGGCTTGATCGGCAAGGGTGTCGGCAGCTCCACAAGGGCAACGCCCTTTTTCTGCGATGACGAGAGCCCCAGGTCTTGGCCAGGGTGAACCACGTCAAGAAGAAGCTGGTAACTTCTGACCACATGATCCTCCCCATGGGCCGGGATCTAGCTGTAGTGCCCTGTAGTGCCCGGGGGCCTGGGGCATCCAAACTCCGAGGCGCGCAGATCCTGTGTGCACCCTGTGAAATCGTGTGCCCTCGCGGGGCCAGACCCTCGGCCCTCGACACTTCTGGCCTCTTGTGATCAATGGGTTTCAAGGATGGACCAGATGGCTTGGACTGGCAGGCAAGCAGCAGAGCAGCAGGTTCGCAAGGGAGAACTTAGGCTCTTTCCGCTGTGGTTGCAGGCAGGTGACGACTCGCGGTGGGGTGCCTTCTACGAGGTGAAGGAATGCAGCAGAGAGCACCAGCACTTCTTTGGTCGTGACGGGAGGCGGGTAACTTCGACGGGGCTCTCCGTGAGTGTGGGACCCAGTTGTCACGCCCTGGCGAATTTCTGCGTGATTCTCGTTCGCCCAGGCCCTGGCGCAGCCTTGGGCTCCAAGCTCAGGACTCCAGGAAACTCTCGAAAGGATCGGGTGGAATGTTCTGGCGGCACACGCGCAGCCACTAGCCTCAAAGGAGGGGATCGGCTCAAATGCGGGTTGGTAGACTTGCCAATGTGCTCCTCGCAGGGGCTTCGATTTGCACCCCACTGTTTCTGGCGGGGTGCGATGAGGCAAGCAGCGGCGACGTCGACACCACTTTTTTGGCCACGACAGCTTCGACCACCTTTGTAGATGGCATCGACAGCACGAGCACCACGGGAGAGGTTGTGACGCCCGAGTCCACCACGCCCGGTAGCACGAGCACCACGAGCACACCGAGAACGCCACCCACCCCACGCACACTAGCAGGCGATGCGCAGTTTCTGTTGCATGCATCCTTCGGACCCACGCGGGCTAGCCTCGACGCGCTCCAGTCCAAGGACTATGAATCTTGGATCAGAGAGCAGATGGCCTTGACACCCTCCCTCCTTCGGAGCCGATACCGGAAGCGAGCGAACCCGGCTACAACGGAAGAGAAGCAACCGGGGGTGCCCCGCACGCCCTGCGAGCCAGGTTCGCGATGGCAACAGGTCGCGCTGAGCCACGATGACATCGGCAAGGCCATCGTCGCCACTGGCAGTCAGATTTACGTTGCTGGCAAGTTCCGGACGGATTTGGACCCCAGCTACGAGTTGAATGGCCTGAGCGTCGGGCCCTTGCACTTGCTGCCGTCCGTTTGCTGAATTTCGAGTTTCTTTAGGAAAAGATCGCTGCCTGCGAGGCGCCACAGTCCTGCAGCTCGGTTGCGAAGTCGAACTGGGTCAACTCGGGGAAGAGCTGCAGCACAGAGGCCAATCGAAAGCACGCCAACACAAGCCTGGAAAGAAGTGGTTCCAGCCAACAAATGCTGCAGGTGAACAAATGGAGGTGCCGGAATTCGGTCACCTGGGTCGCTGAACTCCTCTGCCAGCAGGTGTGGGAAGGTTTGGTGAGATTGTTGCCGTCTTTTTTGCCTCCAGTGCTTCTTGAGGAGTGCTTCGATGCCGGCTTTGGCTATGACGGGGATGACTGCTCGCAGGGCTGGCCCTCGCTGAACTTCGAGGGCTATGCCGCGAAGCATCACAGTGCAGCGGTGCAGGATCTTGAAACATGTAGCGTAAGATTTGCTAAGGTATGCTCCGTGGAGCCAGCAGCGACCGTTGGCAGCCAGCTGATTGTTTCCACGTCCTCCCAGTGCGGCAGCGGCACCACAGACGCTTGCCTCAACACTTCGCAGCCTCGCCTCGAGCCTCGGATGCCTCGCGACGCAGGTAATGCCGAACCCGGGGATCCACGTGAGCGGCCTGTCCCAGACATCCGCTGCATTCTCTTCCGTGCGCCCCGGTGTCATCGTCCTGAACCAGACGCCGGCACCTAGACGGCAACAGTTCCCGGGTTTCCTGCTCTACGGCGCTAGGGCTTGCTTGACTGGTCCAGTGCTGAGGCTCCTTGTGACTTTGGTGATTTCATCAAGGCCTGGTGTTTTTTTCCTGCTTTTGCTATGACTGCAGTCGCCGACCTTCCCAGGTCAACAACTTGGCCTACCGCTATGACTCCCGCCTGAAGTTGCTGGATGTCCAGGCTGCGTCACAGGAGCTGCAGTTCCTGAAACTATGAAAGCTTCCGGTTGGGCAGCCCGTCGAGGAGACCTGCGTGGCTGTGCCCAAGACGGCGTTCAATGCGGAGCAGTGTGCAGTTCAGGCAGGACTTCATGACGTGCATAGTGGGTGGAAGCATGACTTCACGACACGGAGTGCGGGGCGCGAGTGTTTTTCTGCAATGTTGGGCAGGCTGGCCGCGTATGCAGCGTGGTGCAAGCGACCTCGGCAACCCTCGTTTTGAACAGCAGCACCTTGGAGCTAATCTCCGAACGGTCAGGCAGCTACGTGTACACGGCCGGGCCTCCGAGTGCGAAAGTTGCCTGCGAGATAGCATCAGGGGGGCATGGTCGATTTCTTGAAGTGTGCCCTGCGCTGCCTGCGCTGCCTGCGCTGTGCCAGGTCTCCGGGCTACGTACCTCCACTGCCCCCTGTGGAACGCTATCCCGATGGAAGTTGCTGGACTGCACCGCGGTGGACTGCACGGAAAGTTCCTTCGGCACCAGTGACAGACAGCTTCTCGTGACTCGGAGGATGGAATACCGGAGAGGCAGTTAAAGTTGACGTCAAAACAAGAATAACATGACAAACCGTTTGATGTTGCAAGCATACTCGAGTGTACACGCGCGAGCCAAGGTGGATGCGTTGGGGCAGCAACAAGGCGAATACCGAGACATTTTCGTGAGTTGTTCCAACGTCGCGGCCAACTCGGTGATCTCTCTGGGAGGGATCGTTTTCCAGCACGTCTACTTACATGAAGGAAAGGTCTACGACTTCTCAGCTTGGGTGACGCAGCATCCGGGCGGAGCCAGTGCGATCACCAAGTGGGCAAACACAGGCTACGAGCTCGTGTACCCAGCGAGCCATGACATGTCGCGTTTTGAAACGGCGCTGGCCGACAAGAACCTTCAGTATGTGCCTCGGATGCTTTGCGACAGGTCAAGTTCAAGTTGATCTCTTTTCATGTCGGCTGCTCCGTCGTCGGTCCCGGAAGGTGGGCCCGCTCGGTGAGGAGATCCGCTACCTGAGCCTTCCAACATCTCTGCAGTCGGAGTCTTTGGCGCTGGCCCTCGCACCTCCGACCTCTTCGGAAGACCTCTCCCTTGCAACATCGACGCAGGGTTTGATGAAAAGAACAGCAGCCGCTAGGTTGCCACTCACACCTCTGAGGCATGCCCTTCCCCTGGTGAAGCGGCCAACCAGCCTTCCCTCGGCAACAACATGCCCTTCTTCATGCTGCCTGGCGGAGAGGAAGGGGCCGGACTCAGTGCTCCTGCCTACACCAGAAACCCTAAGCCCTGAACTCTATACCGTGTCCATGAAGCCCCGAACAGGCCAAAACTCCAAGTATCATGCGATCTCAGCCTCGGCGGAGGTTCTTCCCAAGCTTCAGCGAGGCGGAAGTCGACCTGGACCTTGAGCTTCGCCTCCGAAATGAAGATGTAATGATGTATCATTGATGTATCATTGTATCATGCTGTGTAAACATGCTAACTAGAGGTCTGTATGCCTACATGCACTTAGATGAAACAAGGGGCTGTCTGCGACCGAGGACCATCCGAGCAAGGAGTTTGGTTGGTGCTTCGCGACAGGTTTTGTTGCCTGAGAGCCCCTGCACATCGAATTGCTGTGACATTGCTGCGCCCCGTTTCCTGCTCACCCTGCTCCTCCTACTGCTTGTGCAGTGTCCAGCGACGCCAAGTGCCAGGTCGCGGTTCGCCCGCACAAACGCCTGGATCAATCAGGCTTGCAGCAGAGTTAATCGCCTTGTGAGGAGCCCCCACGACCCTGCTGAGAGGCCATGGAAGCTCCCGACCAGCTGCGGCAACGCGTCGCCTGGGCCTTGTCGCAGATCTTGGTGACAGGCCGGGAGGGAATTTGTCTCAAGATGCTACCCTCTCTCGGGATTGTGCAGGAACGGGCGGCTTCACTTACTTCTATCAATTCGAGCACCTCGGCCCTCCCAAGGGTATTCTGACTGCGCGTGGGAGACTGTGGCTCTCAGGACCTGGGTCAACTATTATGACATCTTGGTGCGGGGGGCCTTCGGAAACTACCTGGATCTGCTCCGGGAGGTCACGCTGAGTCCCCTCATGGGCATCTTGTTGTAATTTTTGAAGCGCAAGTGCAGCGTGTCCAGCCCTCCGGCTTGCACGGGCAAATTAAGCATAGGAGAGTATCTCTCCTTCTTCAAGAACTCGGCCTTTGACCATGACCAGAATTATCCAGATGAGACGCCTGGCCGCTTCCAGATGGTTCATGAGCTGAGTAAACAACATAACGTGCTTGGTCTCGCGCAGATGTGCGTGTCGTTCAAGCCCGTTCGTTGCTGACTCAGGAATTACGCGCGGGAAGTAATGCAGCTGTTTACGGTGGGCACGGTGCAGCTCAACCCGGATGGCTCTGAAGTTCTCATCGGAGGCAATCCTGTTCCGACCTATGACAACGAGGACTCCGGAGATAGTTTGGCCGTGCTGGTCGGCACATTTGAGCTCGCAAGGACATCATGACCTTTGCCAGTGTTCTAACCGGTTTTGACCGGCAGCTCATGCGGAGCAACCTGGAAGTGGTCAAGGGCAGTGGAACCGGCTGCGAGGCTGCACTTGATCTTCAGAGTGTGAGTCTTGTGTACTCTGCACCGCTCTACATACTCTCCAGGAAGGAATCTCATTGACCCGATGCAAATGAAGCCGGAGTGGCATGATGCCTACCCCAAGATGGATCTGGACGACAACTACCTGGGTGATGGGTATCCGCTGTGCGAGGATTTGCCAAAGGGCGCCTTTCTTCTGAAAGGTGCACGCTTCGAATTTCTCAGCAGCCAGTATAGCTCCAACGACGTCTTGACTGTCCATTCCTCCTCAGCCTTGTTCCAGGCTCTGTGTTCTGCTAGTGGCAGTGGAGGCTGCAGCTTCCAGGCGGTCGTTGTGTTGTCACAGGACCTTTCCTGTCATGCAGACGAGTGCGACGCGACCATTCCTTCTGTTCTCAAGGTTGGTTCGGCGTACTATGAGTTCGTGCCACCGGCATGCGTGCATCTGTATTTCTACAACGGCAAGATCGCTACAGATGGGGGCGGCAGCCGGAACTGGCAGAGCAAAATGCAGTGCACAAACCCAGCTGCATTTGCTGGGGGAAGCTACTGCTGCGACGGGTGCTCAAACAACCGTCCGCCGAGTTGGGTACCAGACAACTTTTGTGAGAATCGCTCAAGCTCCAGTTTCACGAGCAGGTGCAGCAATACCGACAATTGGGTCAACAACAAGTACTGTGAGCTGCGCTGCTTTGAGGAGGGCTTGGGCTACGGAAGGGACTGCGCAGTTGGAGCGTACCGGGAGGCTCACGCCTGCGGGGTTTATCAAGAGAAAGTACCGTATGCTACAGCCGTCAAGTACTGCAGCAGCCTGGGGATGCAGATTTGCGACAGGCCCGGCCCGGGTCAAAGATCCAGCAGAAGCCCCACCCCCGAAAGTCTTGTCAGAATCCCAGGCAGACTGACTTGACCACCTGTGGATACAACGACGATGGTGCGCGGGTTTGGACACAGACGAACTGCAGCATCAACGTGTCTGTGGATGAAACCGGCAAAGTCAGCTCCCAGAAGGACTTCCTTGCGGCTCCGTCTGTCCGTTTGTGGGTCGGTCGGTCGGTCTGTCTGTGTGTATGTGTGCGCGCGAACTACGCTTGAACATGGGTTCAGAAGGGTCGCTCGTGAGTGCCTTTCAACATCTCTAGTTGCAACAGTTGTGACCCTGCCCTTTGTACACTGACAGCACATAACGCAGCCCTGAAATCATCAAGGGAAAAGATTTGCATGGTAGCGGAGCCCGGTCCACCTAAGCCTCGTAGGGGCGGTGGTGGCTGGGTCTTCCGGGTAGGAATTAGGCCCAGAGCCTCGAGACCCATATCGTTTCACCGCATAATAGCTCTGCTCTCCTTTGTCGCTGGCTGCTCTTCGCTGGGCCCACCGACGGGTGGCTGCACTTCACTGTGCCCACCGGTTTTCTTCACGGTAAGACCTCAATTGGGCGAGGCACGTCCGGAATTTTCTTTTGGTGGCCACTTTGGGATAAGTGGGCCGAGGCAGACAGCAGGGAGCAAGCGAGCAGCGGACGGAGGAGTTTTCAGCAGAGGCTTCTGGGAAGGGGCCTGCAAGTATTTACCTGCAGGGCTTGGACGTGGAAGCGCAGAAATGGATGGAACAGGGCAGGCAGCAAATGGTGCTGCCCAGGCAGCGGCAGCGCAGGCGGCTGGGCAAGCCGCACAGCAAGGAGCGCCCGGATCGCCCACGATGATTCCTGTGGACCAAGTGGACAGGTTGGTGAGGCAGCGCCTGGAGCAGGCGTTCAATGGTGTTTTTGGGAGGCTGCTGTCAACGACGGAGAGTGCGGCAGCAGCGGCGCAGGCAACAGCAACTGCAACCAGGGCAGACAACATGATGAAGGGGCTGAAGGTCGATGTCTTCAAGCCCCAAACCAGAGAAGAAGAGCTTCGAGGCTGGAAGGATTGGTGGTTCCAGTTTTCGACTTGTGTGTGCGGGCACGACCCCGCATTCGAAGATGACTTCAAGGGGATAGATCCCGAGACGGAGGTGGACCACAGCCTCCTTAGCGACTTGGAGGTGGAGAGGAGCAGGAAGCTCTTTAGCTTGCTGTGTTCGCTGGTGAAAGGCCGGCCGCTCCTTTTGATAAAGAACCTGGAGGGCAGCAAGAATGGGCTTGAAGCGGTGCGCGTCCTGAGGAACGCCATGGAGCCGAAAGAGAAGGCGCGCAGCCTGGCTTTGCTGAGGCAGCTGGCCGGGTGGACTTTCCAGCCCGGCACGGGGCTGCACGAGCAGATTGTGAAGTACGAGGAGGCCCTCCGGATGTATGAGGACGCTGCGGGGAAGGAGTTCCCGGCTGAGCTGGTTCTGGCCACCATAGTGAATGGCATGAGGGACCCTCTGAAAAGCCAGATCCAGCTACGCATGACCAGCAGAACTACCTACGAGGAGGTCAGGGAGTGGATCCTTCAATACGAAAATATGAATGCTCCCTGGACCTCTTCCTTGCAGCCGGGCCGTGGAGCAAGGAAGGACGAGCCGCAGCCCATGGACGTCGATGTCGTGACGGGCAAAGGAAAGGACAAAGGCAAGAAGGGCAAAGGCAAGGACCAGAAGGGCAAAGGCAAAGACAAGGGCAAGCAGAAGGGCAAGATCGGAGACGGCAAGGGCTGGAACAACTGGGTGGAGCACGGCGGTTGGAGAAGCAACAATGGTGGCTGGAAAGGCGGCGCTGGCACTTGGAATGCTGGCGGTTGGTCTGGCAACAGCTGGGGCAAGAACGCCTGGGCCGCAGGGGGAAAAGATGGAAAAGGCAAGCAGGGAAAAGGAAAAGGAGGTGGATGCAACATCTGCGGCGACCCCCGGCACTGGAAGAACGAGTGCCCGAAGGGGAAAGGAAAAGGCGTGAACCAGTTGGAGCAGCGGCCGCCATCGCAAGCCAGCTCGGGAAGCTCGAGCGCGGGCACCTCCACTACGGCGAGCACGGTGCCCTCTTCGGCGTCAGCCATGCGAGGCAACGGCGGGTACGGCATCAACATGGTGGCAGCCTACTCGTGCACGACGCCTCCCGGCTGCCGCTTCACAGAAGTGTTTGATATTTCCGAGCTTGATGATGAGGGGGAGTTCTCGCTTGAGGGTTCCGGTGTGCTTGTGTTGTCGGCCGTGGGGATCAGGGAGAATGCCTCCAGCAACCACGCACACAACGACGTGGCCCTTGAGTTCCTCTTTGGCAACCAGGCACACAACAACGATGCCCTTGAGTTCCCCTTTGGTGTCCAGACGTCGGCCGGCCAGGTGCTACTGCTAGAGTACCCCCAGGGTGTCCAGGTCTTTCCCATGGATGTGACGGACGGTGATGGTCAGTACACGCTGGCTAGCTATGAGGCAGCACCGGTGGCAACAGTGTGTGCAGTCAGCTGCCATGGGCCAGCAGAGGTCGACGTCGTGATTGACAGTGGGGCCGACATCAGTGTTGCGCCCGCCTCTCTGCGGAAGTTTGGCTGCCCTACTAGAAAGTCGGGGGTGGTCATGCAGGATGCCCAGGGCAATGAGATCAAGGAGCTCGACACCAGGATCCTGGAGGTGGCCGTTGCAACTCTGAACGGTGAGTCGGTCACCATCCGGGAGCGGTTTTCAATTGCCCGGGTCAAGTCGGTGATCATTTCCCTGGGCCGCCTTCTTCGTGCAGGGTGGCTTCTTGGAGACTGCAGGGGAGCACCCATGATCCACAAGGACGGCCACCAAGTCCCAATACGCTTGAGAAGGAACACTTTGACCGTTGGAGCAATGATTTCCGAGATCGCCGTTCCGAGTGGGGAAGGGGAGCCTGCGGAGCTCCAAGAAGGCGTGGCCGAGCTCACAAGGCGCCGAGCGCCGAGGACCACAGCCAGAGGCGGGGCATCAACATGATGACTTTCGATGACATGGGCCCGTTGCCGCCGGAGCTGGAGGATGTGGTTCAGACTCCCGGGTGGCACATTGTACCCAGTGGGCTTCCAGTTCTTATCTGCCACGCCACGGAAGAGCTTGAGCTTGAAAGGTCCCTTTGGGATGTGTCCGACTGGTCCTGGGTGGCTGTGTTTGTCAAGGTCGAGGGCAGCAAGGGCCTTCCCAAGGCCGGTGACCTATGGGTTCAGGTGCTAGCAATGGAGACGGTGAAGTTCGAGGAAGCGCCCAAGAACTTGAAGGACTTCGATGAGGACCTGGCCGGCCGCCATGATGTAGTGATGGTCCTCCATGTGGACGAGTTGCCGAAGAACCTCCTCACCCAGCCTTTAGACTACTTCAAGGAGCCTGCCGGCGGAGAGGTGGTGATGGCCGGGCAAGCTGAAGGAGGCGTCGGTGACATTCCCCTGGAGTTCGTCGGTGAGGGCCAGGTCCATGAGAGCGAGGAGCCGGACAACGTGGAGGAATTGGAGGGCGTGCGCCTTGAGCAAGAAACCCCTTTGAAGGACTTGCGGGAGCTTTGTGCCAAGCTTGGTTTGGCAAAGTCCGGGGGCAAAGCAAAGATTCTGAGGCGACTCCGGGACCACCATGAGATCCTGGAAAAGCAGCTTAGCACCGAGGTTGCGAAGAAGATGTTCCAAGAAAACGAGCGGGTGGCTGACGTGCCGAAGCTGCCCCGGCTGCCGAGCGCAGCCCAGCAAGCGTTGCACAATGCAACGCACCACCCCTTTGCTGCTTGGTGTGAGGCGTGCGTGCTGGGCCGGGCACACCAGTCGCCCCATCCAAAGGCGAAGCCTGACCAGCCGGTCGAGGAAGCGAGGAAGATCCCCAAGATCGAGATCGACTACGCCATCACCTTCACCAAGCACCGCCATGAGATCCAAGAGGGCGAAAACAGAGGTGACGCGGACGATGGTGCTGAGGCGGCAGTTCAAGGTGAAGCTGCTGGGGAGAAGGCGGAGGAAGGAGAAGCCGAGGCGGTGGACTACCGAGACCAATATGGACTCACCTTGGTGGCGGCGGAGGACACCACGGGCTGGCTGCTTGCGGTGCCGGTCCTGGAGAAAGGGGCTGGAGCTCTGAAACGAGTGGTGGAGCAGCTGGTTCGACTTTCGCTGCGTGTTGCTCCTGGCCAGGCTGTGCTCTTCCAGGGCGACCCCGAGCCAGCCATTCGGCAGATCATCAATGCCTGTGAGGCCTGCCGCTCGAAGCTGGGCCTGGCAACAGAAAAGCGCTGGGTTCCACGAGGAAGCCATGAGAGCAACGGGCAGGTCGAGAAGGCGGTCCAGACTGTCCGGACGAATGGCCGCACCTTGCGGGCTTTTGTGGAAAATCGTGTCGGGGCCGCCATTGAGGGCCACCGCCACTTCTACCCTTGGATCATGAGGCACGCCGCGTTCCTCTACAACAGGTTCGCTGTGAACCCGCGTGGGGCAACCAGCTTTGAGCTCATGAACGGCCGGGCCTTTCTCAACTTGTTCCTCTTGGCGAGCAGGTTCTCTATTACCACCCGACCAAGCACCGAGGTGATCTCCAATGGTGTCGGGGAGTTTGGCTTGGTATCCATGAAAGGAACGGTGCCCACATCATTGGCACAAGCGACGGGGTGTTCGAAACCAGATCCATTCGAAGGCTGCCAGAGGAGCAGCAATGGAGTGCCGAGAGCATCCTCAGCATGCGGGGCCTGCCGTGGTCTTACTTAGGTATACCTATAATTAAAAAAATCAGTAAAAAGAGTTTGTCGCCTTCTTCATTTTTTTCTGGCCTTCTTCTTCATTTTTTCTCTCGCCCTGCTCCGCATCATAAGTTTATGTAATATTTTTCGTAACAATTTTCGTAAAATTTTATTTAATATTTTTTACAATAATTTATGTAATAATTTACATAAAATATTTTACAAAAGCGTTCGGGCCGTGCCCCGCATCACAAGTCTATTTGATAATTTATGTAATAGATTACATAAATTATTCTAAAAAAGCGTTCGGGCCGTGCTCCGCATCACAAGTTTATTTAATAATTTACGTAATAATTTACAAAAAATATTTTATAAACAATATGTTGAAACTGATACAAAAGCGTTCGGGGGGGCTCTGTATTATACGAAACCTTTTTGGTTATAACTCGAAACCTTTTTGGTTATAACTCGAAACCTTTTTGGTTATAACTCGAAACCTTTTTGGTTATAACTCGAAACCATTTTGGTTATAACTCGAAACCTTTTTGGTTATGGCACTGGTTGGCTTGCTGTTCCTCACCAGTTTATTTAATAATTTATGTAATATTTATTTAATAATTTATTTAATAAATTTTACAAAAGCGTTCGGGCCGTGCCCCGCATCACAAGTCTATTTGATAATTTATTTAATAACTTACATAAAACTTTTTATAAACAATATGTTGAAACTGATACAAAAGCGTTCGGGGGGGGGGGCTCTGTATTATACGAAACCTTTTTGGTTATAACTCGAAACCTTTTTGGTTATAACTCGAAACCATTTTGGTTATAACTCGAAACCTTTTTGGTTATGGCACTGGTTGGCTTGCTGTTCCTCACCAGTTTATTTAATAATTTATTTAATATTTATTTAATAATTTATTTAATAAATTTTACAAAAGCGTTCGGGCCGTACCCCGCCATGCAAGTTTATTTAATAATTTAAGTAATAGATTACATAAAATATTTACAAAAGCGTTCGGGCGTGCTCCGCATTATACGTTTGTTTAATAATTTATGTAATAGATTACATAAAATATTTACAAAAGCGTTCGGGCGTGCTCCGCATCACAAGTTTATTTAATATTTTATTTAATAATTTAAATAAGTTATTCTACAAAAGCGTTCGGGCCGTGCCCCGCATCACAAGTTTATTTAATAATTTATGTAATTATTTTTATAACAAATTACATAAATATCTTTTATAAACAATATGTTGAAACTGATACAAAAGCGTTCGCGGGGCTCTGTATTATACGTTTATGTAATAATTTTTTGTAATAATTTATGTAATAATTATTGTAATAATTTTTGTTTCAATTTTTGTAATAATTTATGTAATAATTCATGTGTTAATGTATTTAAATAAGGTTAAAATGATGGCTGGTGTCATAATATGTATAGTCGTATCTATCTAACTGTTATGATATGCTAGGTTAGCCATTCTAGACCATAACTTAGATATATAGTACAAAAAATATTTTTCAAAAAATATTTTTTAAATTTTTTTTTAAATTTAACTTGGTTTTTGACCAGCATACTGTCATACCTGTAATATAGTTAACTGTTTTATTATATATTTTAAATAAGTATAATATATATAATAATAATATAATAATAATATATATGTATTTAGTTAGTTGTTATGATATGCTAGGTTATATGCTAGGTAATATACCAAGTTATATATAAATGTTGTTATATAGATAAGGTAAATAAGTTGTATTATGACGGTCTATATTTACGTATGTGTATAATGTCTGTATATAATACAATCATAATATAATAATATATTATGGTGGTATTTTGGTCTGTTCAATTGTCATCAAAACCATCTCTATCATTTACAAACTCTATTTTATATTTATCTGATAGGCATTGTTTTAGCTCGTCCTTGTCTAAGTTATAGTAAGCTCCATCCATTTTTTTATGCTTGGAAAAGCCTTTAAACTTTTTCAATTCAATCCCAAACTTCTCAGGGTTGTAGTGCATATTTGTATATTTGTTGTCTGTTAAATATGTTGTAAATCTATTAAACAATACACTCGCCTTAATCTGATACGGATTTACTGGAACTGTGTTTAATGTTGTATCAATAAAATCCTCCAAGAACTTAGCGACTACTGGAATATTCAACTCTCTCATATCCTCATACATATCACTAGTGGGTCTGTTGTTAATATAATCGTAAGCTTTAATATCTAACTGTCTGAAATATTCAAAAAATGCTCTGTCATATTCTCCGCTTTTAATTTCCTTATGTAGTTGGATAAAATAATTAGCATCCTTAGCATATTTATCGCTAGCTTCTATACAAAAAAAGCGTCTATCATCTGGTGATATTTTTACTGGATTGTTATTATTTGTTAAAAAAGCAAATGCACTACAATCTCTGACTGTATAAGGTGTCTTTTTCTTCTCGTTTATTGGAACTGTCTGCCGTGTAATGGCATTTTTAATATATTCATTAATTGTAAATGTATCCTTACCGCTAGTTTCATTAATTACAACTAATATCTTTTGCTCAATATCTTTATTAAATTGTCCAAAAATCAAATCCGTATTTTCTGTATTAAAATAGTAATCTTTGTAATTTAACAAACTACCTATAAAATCAACTAACGTATCTTTTCCCGCTCCTTGTCCTGATTTTAATATTAATGCTGTTCCCGCTTTTTGTAGTGGTGATTGGAACAGTTTAGCAAACCATTTCATAAGATAATTAAAACTATCTTCATTGCTACCACATACAACATCTTTAATATGAAACCACATTCTAGACTTAGTGATATCGGTTTTTATTAAATTTTTCTTTTCTGCTTCAAAGCCCGTAAATGTATTAAATGTATGGTCAGGTGCTTCTTCACAAGGTAAGAAATCCATTTTTTCAAAAGTTAATATATCTTCGTCATCCATCCATTTATCAATAAAAGCCTTTTTTACTATCTCGCCAGTTTTTTCGTCAATTTCTTCATATTTCTTGTTTCGGTTTACTTTTTTAAACTCTGCTTCATCTCTTCTAATTACAACATCGTCTAATTTTCTGATTTCAACATATGTCAAAGGTTCTCTGATTTTAAAGTTATCTTTTTCAAACTCTTCTTTTACTTCCTCGTAACTTCTTAATTTATTTACTTGTGCTTTTTCTATCTGTTCATCAGTATAACCTTCGTTCATTTCTTTCACTACAAATTGTAAATTTAGGTTAAACTGTTGTTTAATCAATGTATTTAACTCTTGTAATACCTCTTTTTTAAAGCTTTGTTTCAATAGCATAATACCATCAAAACACAAAACACAATGATTTTGCTTTATATAGTTGTTGTCATTACAATATTTAAATACTTCTTCCAAAATTCTGTTTTCAATCTCTTGTAAATAATAACTTGTAATCGTGGCGTTAATGTTAGGTTTTTCACCAACAGCTTTTTTAATTTTAGGATTACTGTTTCCGATTAAACATTGTATAGCTTTCATTTCGTCGTGTAAATGTTGTATAAAATCGTTTCTTTTGCTTATATCAATATTATGTTTGTCAGCCCAGCTTTCAAAACCTCCTCCATATAATAGACTTATGAAAAGGGTTTTTGCATCATCTTTATTAACATTGTATATATTCATAACTTCATTTAAATAATAATCTCTATCTTTTACATACTTTTTCAAATAACATAAGTTAGGATAATTATTTTGTTTTAATATCTGTAACAATATTTCTGGATGTGCATTTTTAATATCAATATCATAATAAAACTGGTTTGAAATTGTATGTCTCACTTCACGCCTTAAGCTTTGTAATCCTACACCCCCTAAGCAAAACACACGACCAAATACATTAGCTTTTTTGTATTTAATGATGCCCTTTGCTTTCGTGTATTTAATAAGCTGTTCTTTTTCGTTTTCGTGTCCATTGAATGGGTCAGTTTGTAATAACGATGAATTAATTAATTTTGAAAGTAATTTAAAGTCATATTGTTCTTTACATGTTAAGTTGTTAAGTGACGATTTAACGGCTTCCAAGGTCAAAGGTAATGATGTCATAATATAATATATATATTTATATATTATATTATTTCTTTAATACACTTTTTTAAACCAGCTTTTTAGACAATAGAATTTACTACTCTGTTCCTCAAACATATAGGTTTTTGTTGGTGTTCTTTGATATGTTTTAATGTTTGTAATTTTCCGCATAATTCACAGGCAACTTTTTCGCCTAATTTTTCTTTGTATAATTTTGCTTGATATTTTCTAAAATATTCTGGGTCTTTTGGAAGTTTGTTACTATAAGGTTTTTTTTCATCTACTTGCTTCCGTAAGGATTTTATAAGGTCTTTAAGTATTTTAACTTTCATTTGTTCCTCCTCCGTTTGAACCGGTTTTATATCTTCAATTGTTTCAGACATTCTTATATTTATATACTAATACATATATTTCTTTAAGTAAAGTTTTTAAACCATTAAAAGAAAATTAATTTCTTATTGACCTAGCGCTTCCTCTGGAACTTCTGCTTCTAATGTATTCTATTGTTTCTTGACTTCTGCGAGAACTAACAACACTAACAGGCGGTGTTGCGTCATCTACATATTCAATAGTTCTATCACTAGGAATGGAACTTTGCACTGTTTCAACAGGCGAAGAATTAATATAATCACTTAATGCTTCTTCTTCAAGTGGCATTAAAACACTTCTGTTTGAACTTCTTCTAGAACTTGATGAGGATGATGCAGAAGGCTCATAAGACTTCTTAACATTCATAGGTAAACTATTATCGCTTTGTTCACTCTGTTTTTTCTCTACAGTTTCTTCACGCTCTACATCATCATTATCAAACTGTTGTCTTCTATTTCTCATTTCTTCTCTTTCTTCTTTAAATTCGTCTTCTCCAAACATAGCATCATAAGCTCTCCTCATTACTGATTTATTTTGAGTTTTTTCTCGGTCTCCTTCTTGTTCTTTCTCATTACTTTTTATAGTGTCATCGCTTTC